GTTCCAAACACTGAATTCATTGTTCATCGATTTTACTGCTGTGTTTTGCCCAGATTATGCTGGGCCTTTTTCTCTCAAATGATTCCGGTTTTTCCCATGATGTCGCTTGCTGGATTGTGTGCACACACGCAGCTTATCTAGGGGGTCTAGTTGTGAGTCACGTGCATTGCTGTTGCACTAGAGAAGTTTTAGATGTCCCATATCGATGCCAGCACATACGCTTTATCAGTCAGAGTCGTTTGATACCATTTATTGGCTTAACTGACTCATATTCTTGGCTTATTCATTGCTGACGGCACCATTTGCTTCCCTAATCAAGCCTCTTCGTGGTCGCCCTTTTCATAGTAATTGTTACTTTTTCCACTCATTATTTCACTGCTAATCCTTACATGCCATTCTTCTGATATCGTCTGATTATGAGCAATGGTCTTCGGAAATTCGGGAATTCAGGTGTAATTCGTTGGAAACTCTCAGGAGGGATATTAAATCCTAATATTGCAACCGATTCGGCGTTTCATGGTACCTTCAACGGTTTCCCGCATTAGTAATGGCCCCTTCCGGGGTTAAACCTGGTCTCATAAAGGTGATTCTGTTTTTTGTATTTTCTGATCATACAGCTAGAGGCATACTACTTGTAAATTGTACTTTTTTTCTTTCATAGTCTCCATGATTTTGGAAAAGAACAATTTACTTGTTGTTTTCTGTCTGTTACTTTACTTTGATTACGAGCATGAACCTTTGTAAACCCATAAGCTTCTAATCAGAACATTATTTCTTGTAAGTAGTGTACAATCTCACCAATGAAATTGTGAAACTAATTGGTTAACTTAATTTTGAGAGAAATTTCTTAAATAAAATCCCCTCTTTTTTAGACTATCAAAAAAACACTTTTCTACAAAATTACAGTGAGAAATCGTAATAGTAAATGAATGATGTATCTGTAGTTACCGTCATAACTTCTTAAGGAAAGTTTCGGTACTCCTTCCCTGGTTTTAACATCTATTCCGATTAGTAGAGTCTTCGTGAGAATTTTTACCAGCTATGGTTAAGTAGGCAGTTTAGTGCACTTATACGTTATTAGCGTTACGTGGTCTGAAAGATAGTGCACAGTCAGACAAAAAGATGGATATAAAATCACGTATTAGACAAGAGAAGTTGGATAGAAAATCACATAGACAGAGATTTCATTTACGTATGCTCACTTCTATCGTATTTTTACGGCGCACTTTTTACGCCGCATATGAAAAGTCAAACATATCTTAGGGAATTTGAATTTTTTAGATGAAAATTAGTGTAGATATCATAAATAGCTGTTTGCCTGCTTCCAGGATCCTGCCATAGCTGCCCTCTTCAGCAATAAAGATCCAGAGTCCCGATATGACGATCTTCGAGAAATTGGACATGGGTCGTTTGGAGCCGT